AGTTTTGCTGAGAGGGAGAAAACATATTTTATAGAGACGTCTGCACTCGAGTCTATGAACGTTGAGAATGCTTTCACAGAACTACTCACCCAAATATATCATGTAGTTCGCCGTAAAGCAATTGAAATCGGAGATGATCCTGCAACTTTGCCGAAGGGACAAACGGTAAAGGTTGATACTAAAGATGATGTTTCAAAAGTTGCTTGCTGCTCTATCTAGTCCGAAGTTTTGGTCATTGCGTGTTGGTCCATCTATGAATTCCAACTCGTTGGTGTCCTTATTTATTCGATTAATGCATGTCTTATAGACAATGTATTTTTACTTTTTTCTTCTTTAATATTGTTTGGTACTATCTAATCTTTCCTACTGAATATACCATTGGCATTTGGGAATTGAGGGCTTAGTTTTGGAGCTTGATCAATGGCATATCGTAGTGTCTTTGGACAACATTTGAATTGTGCACTTGAAACATTTGTTTTTTCAAAATAATAAATGTATTAGCCAAAAGCCCATAACTATTTTATCGGTACATTTTCGTATTGAATCATAGAGTAGCATAAATTTTACAAGAATGTGCATTCCTATTCTATTTGCTGTGGATTCTGAATTGGTGTCCAAAGCGGTGAACCGCATTGGATCTAGTACTATAATTTGTTGTCGTCGTTGAAAGATCTTATTGCTTTGATGTGTAGTTTTGATGCAACTTCCGTGCTAAATGTACGTGTAGTTTTTGTACAACTTTCATGATAAATGTACATGTAATTTTGGTGCATCTTTCGTTCCTAGCGTATGTGTAGTTTTGGTGCAACTTTCGTGCTAAATGTTCCATTAAGTTCCTCCAAAGAATAAGCTAACGGCACATTCTAAAACTCTTAAGAAGATTAGATTCAACATTTAACTGCTGCATATATCCTAGAGCACGTTCATACTCTCGAACAAACAATTCTCTACACTTCGAGAGAGACAAAATGCTTCAAACATGTTGACATGACCACCTATACAATGTACAAAAATATGTTACGTTCAGAAAGAGTTTTTATCCCTGATTATAGGTAACTAGGAAGAGAGCAAAAGAGAATTTTTCTTCCAACTGCCTTCGACCTCTCTATTTACAGTTCTTCTTCACAGTTGTTAATGCAGTGGATTTGCATATGGGACAAGAATTTTTTATGAGCAGCCATTTCTTTATGCAATCTTCATGATACTCATGCCCGCAGTTAAGGTTTCCAACATTTTCTTGATCCTCAAAATCAGCCTATAAAAAGCTCAAAGCAAACATAATCATCATGAGCAAAATCATCATGGCTTAAATTGTTATTCTTGCATCACTTCAAACATATAAAGATTTAGGGATATGTCGTGTTGACCATAAAATGTATAACCCCAACATCTTCATAATTAGATGTCTCAAAAGAAAAATTACTACCTGGCATATGACGCAGAAATTACTTTGTTGTTCCACCGTTGCTGCCTTTTTCTGATTTAAACATGTTGCCAACGAGGAGAAAGTTCTTGTTTTCAAACTATTCTGAATATCTTCTTCAGAAAGTCCAGTGCCAACAATGCCAATCTGTTCCTCTAGCACAAGAAGCTCCTGTAACCAACAAAATGTCAAGAACTCAGAAAAATGACTTGCGGGTAATATTACATCACAGGCTTGGACTTGTGTGAAGAAACAACCATTCATGAACTGCTCTACAAATATCTAATGAAATTG